ACTTTTCTGGGGTCTGTCATGTGGATTATCCCTCTGGAGACTGACGAGCCTTAGAAGCAGAGAAGACAAGTATTAGGATCAGTGTTTTCTCTGAGCCCCTGTGTCAATGTTTTTGTGAGATAAATTCTTAGAAAAATTTCTCAGCTAAAGGTAGTATTTAAGTGAATTTTGCCAAATGAACTTCTAATAATGTGCCAGTTTGTATCCCAACTAATATATGAGTACCTGTTTCTTATCATCTTTACAAATACCATTTTCCACCATTTACAGTGAAAGATGACAATTTCTCAATGATTTTGCATTTAATTAGGAATAAACATCTCATGTATGTGAGCCATTAAAATGTTTTAGTATTTTGGTCATGCTCTTTGCCTATTTCTTTTGGTTTTCAATTTTTTAAAGAGTTTTTTGCACTTTAGGTAAAATAGTTTCACTCATTCAGGCACTGTTCTAAACAGTGTAGTCAAACAGAAAACAAAACAAAAATCCCTGCCCTCGAGGAATTTAAATTCTTGTAGAGAGATGAAGGAAAAAAATCCTATGTACACACACAGACACACACACATGCACACACACATGCACACCCACGCATGAGGTGGTGACAGGTGCTACAGAAAACAAAGGAGGGTAAAAGGGATAGAAAGTGACGGCACTGTGTGTGGGATGGGATGCTGTTTTGTACAGTGTACAGAGTGGTCAGGGACTGCCTCACTGATAGAGTGGAGATTTGAGAAGGCACCTACCTGAAAGAAAGGAAATAATTTGCACAAAGATCAAGGAAAAAAACATTTCAGGCAGAAATGTTTTTTCTGCCAAAAAACATCTGGCCTTTAAAGCCAAAAGGCTTCAAGGAGAGGGAGAGGGAAATTAGTTGGCACATTTCAGAAGCAGCAAGGAGGCAGACAGACTACAGCAGTGTGGGTGAGGAAGAAGGGAGTCAGGGAAGAGGTCAGAGAAAGTGGGGTCAGATAGGGTAGGGTCTTATAGGCCATAGTAAAGTCTTTGGAGAGTTCTGATTTATCTGAAGGTGAATAGGAACAGAGATGAGTCATGAGACCAGATGAAAGTGAATGCAAGCCTGGGCAACACAGCAGGACACTTTGTCTCTACTAAAAATTTTAAAAATTAGACAGGAGTGGTGGTGTGTACCAACAGTCCCAGCTACTTGGAAGGCCTGAAACCAGGAGACTGATCTCACCACTACACTGCAGCCCAGGCGACAGAGCAAGATCTGACTCGAAGAAAAAAAAGATGTAAATATTTATTGCCAGTAAATTTTAACTTTATGGTGTTTTAATTTTTTTTTGCAGGGAAGGACAGGTGGCCATGCTATATTTTTTAACTGCTATAGTAATAGCAATCTTCTTATTTATATCTTGCTTTTATGTCACACAGGCAAAAGATTACAAAATGATCTATTACATTGTATTTTGATTAAAACTTCTGATTTCTCTGAAATCATTTTGGGGATAAGCAGTGAAATAGGCAAGATCAATGCATAAGACCACACAATTTACTTGCTGCACAAGGGTACCAGGCTGAGGGGGTAAGTGGGGACTGAAATTGAGTCAGGCAATGGCACACTGGGAGGTACTGAATCCTAGAGGAAGGGGTCTTTTCTAACTTGCACAAAGGTGCTGTATGAACTACTGGTGGCACTGGAGATAGAGTTCAAGCTTTAATCCATTGTGAGTTTTTTGTTTTGTTTTCATTTTTTGTTTTTGAGACAGAGTTTCACTCTTGTTGTCTAGGCTGGAGTACAATGGCATGATCTTGGCTAAGTGCAACCTCCACCTCCTGGGTTCAAGTGATTCTCCTGCTTCAGCCTCCCAAGTAGCTGGGATTACAGGCATGAGCCACCACAACCAATTAATTTTGTATTTTTAGTAGAGAAGGGATTTCATGATGTTTCCCTGGCTGGTCACAAACTCCTGACCTCAGGTGATCCACCCACCTCAGCCTCCCAAAGTGCTGTGATTACAGGCGTGAGCCACCACACCTAGTCTAATCCATCTTATTTATTTATTTATTTAAGATGGAGTCTCACTCTGTCACCCTGTCTGGAGTGCAGTAGTGCAATCTCAGCTCACTGCAACCTCTGCCTCCCGGGTTCAAGTGATTCTCCAGCCTCAGCCTCCTGAGTAGCTTCGACTACAAGCACACGCCACCACACCCAGCTAATTTTGGTATTTTTAGTAGAGACAGAGTTTCACCATGTTGGCCAAGATGGTCCCCATCTCTTGACCTTATGATCCGACTGCCTCGGCCTCCCAAAGTGTTAGGATTACAGGCGTGAGCCACTGCACCCGGCCCCTAATCCACTGTTTTAATACCAGTTATTTAATAATCTTTTCACCTACTGACTTAAAATGCCACCTTTGACATACTAAATATTCATTGCTTCTTACATCTTTGGTAGAACCAAGGATTACATTAAGGTAGAAGTTTACCATATTAAAAAAAAATTTTTTTAATGCATTCTCCTCACTAGGAAAACCTTAATTTTAGGAGCCAAATTAGAAGGAAATTTTGGCATATTAGAAAGAACTGGTGCAGCTGGAAGAATTCCTCCTTTTCAGATGCAACAGAAAAGCACCTCTTTGCTGTCCTTGCTTAAAGCCACCAGTGAGTTACTTCCAAGAACCTTGTGCTAACCTGAAAGGCTTTCTTATCTGCATTGAGATAATAGCTCAACCAACAGTCTGAAGTCCTACTGCTCCAGGAAAATCTTTTTATTTCCAGATTCAGGTTTGGCTTCAGTAAGAACACTCTGACTTGGCGGAAGTTTTCTTACACTACTGCCATAGGAGAATAAAGGCTCTAACAGTGCAGTAAGATTGGCGGATGTAACAACACTGTGAATGGTGACATGCTATATGTTATGTGGTCTGTTTTCAAACAAAAGTAAAACTCCTGTCTTTTCAGCTGTCCCCCACTACCCCATCAGGTCCATCACTATACTATTACTGCCTTAGTGAGACAAGAAATAAAATCCATTTGAAACTTCTGCCAAAAAGGAAAGGCCTCCTTCTTCCAAGACAAACAAGCATATAATATAAGGGAAATGGAAAGGATTTCACTTTGTAGTTTTATGCTTAGGCAAACAGAAAACCTAAGACACTGTAAGTCCTAATTGGTCAGTTACCATTTTCTCCTCTCTACAAAGAAGGGCTGGGGTTGGAGGAGACTGGAATGGAAGGAGGGGTGGTAAAACAGATACAAGTTCTCTAACAAAGTAGCTTCCTCAGATTCCCCTCCCTTTCCTCACAGCCTACTTTCAGAAACAAAGCTTTATTTACACAGCAGCCTGCTGTCAAGCTTGCTAAAGAATTCACTAGATAGTAGCTAAGCCTATAATAAGAAGGAAGCTAAATTTACTGTCCAGTCTCAGAGAAATAACTTCATGTGTCAACACAATGAACCAAGAAATGAGGAGAGCAGAGAGGAGAGCGGCTTATATAAAAGATACAGATATATCATTTTACATCATCAGTAGGAGAAGCAAATGTGAGAATGTTTGGAGAGCTGTATTTTAGTTAAGAGCAAATATTTCTAAGTTGATTATCTTTCAGATCCAAGTCATGCTGCATTGCTTCAACTATATATGCTTAAATATTTTTAGTTAAGACATACATAGGATTTTCTGCTTTCCAGAAATCTTAGGGCAGGAACAGTGACTTTTTACTAGAGTAAAAAAAATAAGGCACTAGCATGGAGGAACATTAGATAATTTTGATATTTAGGATATGAAATAATTAGATAATTTTCTTTCTTTTTTTGAGAGGCCAGGTCTTGCTCTGTCGCCCAGGCTGCAGTGCAATGGTGCAATCATAGCTCACTAAACCTTGAACTCCCAGGCTCAAGCAATCCTTTTGCCTCAGATTCCCAAGTAGCTAGGACTACAGGCATGTGGCACTGCACCTAACTAATTTATATTTATTTTTATTTTTTGTAGAGATGGGGCTCACTTTGTTGCCCAGGCAGCGCTCAAACTCCTGGCCTCATGTGAATCTCCCTCCTTGGCCTCCCAAAGTGCTGGGATTACGGGTGTGAGTCATGGTGCCCAGCTAATAATTGGATGATTTTCATTGCCTTTTTCTACCAATTTTCTTCCCTATCCTTGAGGCCAGGTGTAATTCATGCTTCTCTTTGGGAGTCCAACTTTATCTAGGCCTTCACTCCCAAATTATTTCATGCTTCAAACTTATCTTTTTATTCTGACCTCCTGCTTCCTTAAATCTTTCAAATAAAATTTCCTTTTATTCCTTCACTGACCCTTGCCCCCTCCAAGTCATTCTGCATGTAATAGAATGTTGATTATTCCATTTCTGAAAGGTTGCTAAACCCTGTTCAACACGTTTGCTTTTACTTTCTAACAGTCACATTCCTAATCAAGAGACGCAGTAGCAGTGCCACTAGATTATATAAATAGACCAAGGAGCTTGGTGGATAAAAGTGAAAGCATTAGGGCTGGGCATAGTGGCTCACGCCTGTAATCCCAGCACTTTGAGAGGCTGAGGTGGGCAGATAACTTGAGCCCAGGAGTTTAAGACCAACCTGGACAAAGTGGTGAAACCCCATCTTTACAAAAATGCAAAAAATTAGCCAGGTGTGCTTCCAGGCGTACTTGGGAGGCTGAGGTGGGAGAATTGCCAGGGCCTGGGAAGTCAAGACTAGATAGCCTGGGCAACAGAGGAGACCTTGTCTCCAAAAAAAAGTGAAAACATTAAAACATAAGCCACAAATACGATCATGCCACTTGAAATTTAAGGAAATTTGGTCTTATGCATATCATCTTACCTTCTTTTCAGTCTAGACCACTTATTGGAAGGTCGGACACACCTTAAGAAATAGTTGGCTATTCTGTCTCGTTATTATCCTAACAGTTCTAAGTCTAGGATATATTAATTTCCATGGCAAAATGGCTCCTCTCTGCAAAATTAAGCCATTTATTACTTTAGTTTGCAAAAAGTTCATGACATGTTAGAAGCACAAATTTGACAGATACTATTTTATTATTTACAAAATACATAGTGATCATAAGAGAACAGTTTACAAATTACAAGTGAGAAAAGTACAGGGAAAAGGAGACAAATGGGTTAAATAACAAGGTAACCATTTGTAATGAGCCTGTTTAGAATAAAATAGTTCTCTTTAAAAGTTAGACAAAGCCATGAGTAAGTATATTGCTATGTAAAAATATGTCAGTTACTTCGAAATACACCTCTACCAAAAAGTAGAAAAGCATTGGTAGTGCATCTAAATGTGTCCCAAATTAAATTACAGCATGTACAGTTTCAGTGTTTCACAATGCAACCATGGTTCTGAGGCAGGAATTTATGAGAGGTGATTGCCTAGCTCACTGAGAGAGCAAAGCCCCAGGACTAGTTAACTTCCCTACCTTCCATAAGGCTTTGTTCAGGTGACTTTGGAACGTGGTGTCAAAAACCCCATTCATTTCTGCTGCAAGCTCCCTCAGAACAGACACTGTGGCCTCATCATTGACATTCAGAATCCGCACAAAGAATTTATTCCATAATTCACCATCTTTTAGCCTAAAAATATATAAAACCATTTCCATCAAGATTAGGCATATGAAAATTATAATTCCTTTTGTCTTTAACTCAGTGGTACATTTATGCACCAAAATGGTTTAAGGTAATCCCTAGAACTCTAGGGTTAGAGATCATTCAGACAGTCCTTTGAAAGCCCAGGGAAGAACTACAAAAATGGGCTACCATAGTGGGAAACACCAAGATACAATGCACATAAAGGGAAAGAAGTTCTCTCATCCCAATCTATAAATTTCCTCTGTGTACTAATACATAGCACTTTTCTTCTACAAATAGAAGAAAAAGAAATTTTATTTCCTCTAACCTTCATAGACTCTAGGTCATTAAAAAGACTACAGCTCCTTCCTCCCACCCCAGTAGCTGATCATCTTTACAATTCTCCGAGAATCCTAAGCTTAACTACAGTGGCTATTGCTTAATATGTCTGTACCTTTGCTTATTATTATTTTCTTTTGATCAGAGAAACTTCTCTTATTATATAAGGCAGGACTGTTAAGAAACCCCAAGTGACCCCACTTGTTTCTGCTTGTGTTAGTCAGAACTGCCTGGATGATAGCCAAGTGGACATGCCTGTATCTATCCTATATGTCTTACACTGTATTTCAAGCCTATTTTAAAAGTACATGTAAGAGACAACACTGGCCAAGTTCTGAATTAAATAAAGAGGAAAATACAATTCAATTATTCAAAGAGGAAAAAGGAGAAGAGGCATTAAATCTTCAGCAATGTTTTTTTTTTTTAACTTTAGAATATAAAAATAAGTGACAGACCGGCAAACTTATGCTGGGAAGTTATTTGCTAAGATAAGCTAAAGTAGAACATAGATACTTATTAAGGTAGGGGTGTGTGTGTGTGTTTTGAAATGGAGTCTCACTCTGCCACCCAGGCTGGAGTGCAGTGATGTGAGCTCAGCTCACTGCAACCTCTGCCTCCGGGTTCAAGTGATTCTCATGCCTCAGCTTCCCAAGCAGCTAGGATTACAGGCGTGTGCCCTGCTAAATTTCTTGTATTTTTAGTATAGATGGGGTTTCACCATGTTGGCTAGGCTGGTCTCAAACTCCTGACCTCAGGTGATCTGCTGACCTCAGCCTCCCAAAGTGCTGGGGTTACAGGTGTGAGCCACCATACCCAGCCAACTTAATAAGTTCTATGAGCAGGCTTGAGGAAGTAGTAAGTTTCTGAGACCAAGCAGCTTTTATTAAGAGATCATTTACTTCTTCACCAGGAGACTCAGTCCTCTTGTTTGGTTCTACCAACTTATTAAATAAATAATAGCCTAAAATTAGCATACAGTTTGGAAATATAAGTCTTTTCAAGAGATGCTTATTAACTTCTGGTAATAATCACTATTGAAAAGGAATTTAAGGCTAATACCAATTGGTTAGAAAATTATTCTCATGAATTGTTTCTGTTCACATATCTAAACAGAGAAGTTTCCATACTATAGCTGTAGTCTGTAAGATACAGCTAGGTTCAGAACGATGTCTTGAGGTCTGTATAGTTTTGAGTCTTATTTTTAACAAGCAGTTCCTTTATCCTGCACAAGATGCTCTGCTGATATTCTAATGAAAGCTGGCTGAAACTACTAAAATCATGGCATTTGGATTAAAAAATTAAGGCTGCCAAAGCAGAGACTGCACCCAAGAGAAAGAAAACTATTGGGACAGGCAGAGAGCCTGAAATTCACCAATACTTACTCAGAAATATTTTGGCTAAGTTTCCAGAAGGACCCATCCCAGAAGACCTGTAGGTGTTCCTTGAACAATAGTAAATGTGCTAAATCTGCTATACCAAACAGGTCTACCTGAAATCACAAAAAGCACCATCAGCTGAAATAATTCTCTGTCTCTACCATGGCAGCTTATTTCGGTAGGAAGTTGAAAGGTATTACAGTGTTTAATTAAGTATATTTTACGACATAATTTTAGTAGACTGTTCCTTACCCTTACAGTAAAGGGAGAAGCTCTCCAAAGAAGTGAATAGAGCCAACTCTAGGAATTATCCTTAATAACAAAAGATGAAATATTTGGACTATCACATTCAAATTTGTAGACCTACTGAGTTTGCAAGAACTCCAGCTGTGATCTAAATGGGGTCCACACAATTAGTTCAGGTTCATACTACTATTCAATCAGCAAATGTCTTGTGTCTCAAGCTGAGTTAGGAGGAATTTCTGCATATAATGCCACCATACAAAAGACTTTAAATTTGCAATAATGTCCTCTTTATACACATTACTTCATTTACTCCTCACAACAATTCTGGCAAACATATAGCAGAGACTGTTATCCCTATTTTGCAGAGATCATAGAAAATGACTTATAAAGGATCACAAGGGTGGTGAGCAGTAGGAATGGCCCTGGTACTTAGGTTACTGAGTTAGTCATGTGTTTGCATGTGTATGTGTATATTCTTCAGTGCTGTAACACAAAAATGTTACATTTTGCTTGACTTGGTGATATTTGAAAACTAGGTCATCTATTCTAGGAGAGTCAGTATCAGTAAACACTAGCTTTTTTAGCTTGTCTAGGTAATAAAGGGATTAAGTAACCCTCTCCATATTTGCTCAGGCTTGTTTTACACTTACCTGGTAGGGAGAAGAACAGTTAGCCAGGATCTTTTGTCCTTCCAGGATCTGTACGGTCCGAAAGCCGCCGAGGGTGAAAACATCTAGTTGCAACCTAAGGTCAACACTGTAGGAAAAGTCCACTATCTTCAAAGCTTGATTGTTCCTGTTACAATCATAGGGATCGTGGATTCTGAGCCCAGATTTAAGAGAAGGAGATAATAAAAACAGGCCATGAAAGAAGTTGCATAGCTGGTCTTTTAAAAAAAAAAAAAAAAAAAAAGGTACCACAGGTACATCTTAGCTATGCCAATAACTCCCTCCAGTGGTTAATTTTGAAAATGCACCGGTAAGACTCAGCAGAGGCGGTGTCCACTCAATAGGGAAGGAATGTCACCAGTTTGGTCCCACATTATATTTCAATCACGGTGCATGACCAACATTAAACATTTATCAAGCTTCCATATTATATAAAGTAAGTATGGAAGCAGAGCACATGCTTTTTCCCTGTACTGTACACATTAACACATACAATTGCAACGATTTATACACTGACAGGAATTATAATGGAGGAAATTAAACTTTTATAGGTGTCATAGCCTTTCTTGTTTACTAGATAAGCTTTCCAAGTTTTGTTCAGATTCTTCCTTCTAGAGTTTAATGGAAAACAATACAAGTCTGTTTTACAAAGTCTGATCTATATTGTAAAATTTCCTGTAAAACACCATAGTTTATCTTACTCTTATTTGTAATTCCAATTCTTATTTACTAAAAAAAACTTCATAATACTAATTAATTATTGATCAATTCTGTTTTCCTTGGGTTTATCTATCCCATGTAATAAAGCTATTCTCCACAGGAACCGTTTATAAATGGAAAGAGTGGGTTTTCATGTGTTACTTTTGTCTCAGTTTTTCTCAATTAGTTCCCTCAAACTCCTGACTGACATTGGTGCAGTTTCTATATTCCTAAATACAGGGTTTAACTACTCCAATTATATAACTCCACAGCACAGAATGATCTATGTATTACTTTAAAATTGACAATTTCTCCCATTTTTCTTTAGTGTAAGATCCAACCGTTTTTGGCCACGATAAAACTATACTATAATTTAAATATATATATATATATATATATATATATATATATATTTAAATTATAGTATAGTTATATATATTATATGTGTGTATTTTTTTATTATTATTATTTTTTTGAGATGGAGTCCCGCTCTGTAGCCCAGGCTGGAGTGCAGTGGCGTGATCTCAGCTCACTGCAACCTCCACCTCCCAGGTCCCAATTCAAGCAATTCTCTTACCTTAGCCTCCCAAGTAGCTGGGATTACAGGCATGAGCCACCATCCCCAGCTAATTTTTGTATTTTTTAGTAGAGACGGGGGTGGTTCACCATGTTGGCCAGGCTGGTCTTGAACTCCTGACTTAGTGATCCACCCACCCTGGCCTCCCAAAGTGCCAGATATATAGGCATGAGCCTCTGCGCCTGGCCATGTTTTGTTTCTTAGACAAGGTCACACTGTCACTGAGGGTGGAATACAGTGGCATGATCTTGGCTCACTGCATTCTGCCTCCTAGGTTCAAGCAATCCTCCCACCTTAGCCTCCTGAGTAGCTGGGACTACAGGCATGCACCACCATGCTTGGCTAATTTTTAAATTTTTTTGTAGAGATGAGGTCTCACTATATTGCCCAGGCTGGTCTTAACTCCTAGGCTCAAGTGATCTGCCTTGGTCTCTCAAAGTGCTGGGATTATAGATTTGAGTCACTGTGCCCAGTGTAATTGTAAAATATTTATATAACTTGGGAGACACAGGAAAAAGTTTTCATAGATTAATCAAAAGAAACATGCATGAAGGTCTCTTAGCCCTCTAATCAGCTACGAACTCACCGTTACTTTGGGAAGGACATTCCATTTTTCGGATCTCATTTTCCCTAACAAACACGTAGAAACTAAGGTAAGCAACTAAACTAAGCAATTTCAAAAGGTTCTTTCTGGCTTTAATTTTATTTTTGTAGAGACGAAGTCTTGCTATGTTGACTAGGCTGGTCTTGAACTCCCTCAAGAGATCTTCCTGTCTTTGCCTCCCAAAGTGCTGGGATTGCAGATGTGGGCAACTACGTCCAGCTCTTTCTGGCTTTTTTTTTTTTTTTTTTTTTTTGAGATAGAATTCGCTCTTGTTGCCCAGGCTGGAATGCAATGGCGCAATTTCAGCTCACCACAACCTCCTCCTCCTGGGTTCAAGCAATTCTCCTGCCTCAGCCTCCCAAATCCTGGGATTACAGGCATGCGCCACTATGCCCAGCTAATTTTGAATTTTTAGTAGAGACAGGGTTTCTCCATATTGGTCAGGCTGGTCTCAAACTCACGACCGCAGGTGATTCACCTGTCTCAGCCTCCCAAAGTGCTGGGATTACAGGTGTGAGCCACCATATGCCTGGTCCCTTTCTGGCTTTTAATTCCTTATGAATCTATGTGAAATTTCTGATGAAATTTGATAAATAGTGAAAAAGTAAAAAGCACTGTCTCTTTGAAACTATGTACTTTCCTGGAGTGTCTGGTGGCTGAGAGAAGGGCTATCATATTCCATAGACCACAAATTCCCAATTCTAAAAGGCTTAGAAAATACCTCTGTTTCCAATTTCCATAGCCCTGGGAATATCAGCACTGTCATTTTAATGTTGTGAAGTAGAGTGAAAATATACCAGGGGTTCTCATATTTGGAAATTTGGGGGAATTTTTAGTTGTTACAACGGCTTAGGGGATTGCTACTTGCACTTAATTGGGTGGCTGGGAGAATAGGAATATAAAACATTCTGCATTGCTTGGAACATGCCTGCACAAAGAATTGTTTCATCCAAAATACCTTTGGTGCCCTGGATGAGAAATGCTGCTACATTATGTCTGAGAAAGCCTTTGACTGCTATCTCAGAGAGAAGGTAGGATTCTCTAGTTCTTTTGGTTACAATCACAGGAATACATTGAGGGTTCTTTTAATTTCCATGCCAACTGTAATTTAGAGTCTAATTCAATCTCTTCTTACAGATTAAGTATTCAGAAGAAATGTAAAGAATGAGTTCAGCGTACAGCTATTAGTGTATATCAGTGGCCTCAGAAACAAACTTAACGCCTCACCCAAGACATAGGGTGGGGCAGACAAAGCATCTTTTTTTTTTTTTTTTTGAGATGGGAATCTTACTCTTTTCGCCCAGGCTGGAGTGCAATGGGGCGATCTCAGCTCATTGCAACCTCTACCTCCCAGGTTCAAGCAATTCTACTGCCTCAGCCTCCCAAATTGTTGGGATCGCAGGTGCCCGCCACCACGCCCAGCTAATTTTTGTACTTTTAGTAGAGACAGAGTTTTGCCATGTTGGCCAAGCTGGTCTCAAACTCCTGACCTCAGGTGATCTGCCCGCCTCAGCCTCCCAAAGTGCTAGGGTTACAAGCATGACTCACCTTGCCCAGGTGACAAAACATCTTTAAACAAGGCTGCTTTTACTCAAGTACTGTAATATCAATGATCACTAAAAGAATGTAGTGGTCCTCTAGTCCTTTTCACAAAGCAAATATGTTGGACTGTATTTGCCTAGTTAATGCCTGAATGTTATCTATATTTTCTCAATTCTTAGTATTTAGGCTTCATTTCTTATTTCCTGCTGTGTTCCTTGATATGGCATTTATCGAAAGGCTTTAAAAACAGGCAACTTGGCCAGGCATGGTGATTCACACCTATAATCCCAGCACTTTGGGAGGCTGAGGTAAGCAGATTACTTGAGGCAAGGAGTTTGAGACCAGCCCAGGCAACATGGTGAAACCTCATCTCTACCAAAAATATATAAAAAATTAGCCAGGTGTGGTGGTCCTAGCTTCAAGTGAGGTTGATACAGGAAAACTGCTTGAACCTGGGAGACGGAGGTGGTATTGAGCCGAGATCACGCCACCATACTCCAACCTAGGTGACAGAGTGAGACTCTGCCTCAAAAAAGAAAAAAAAAGTGTCAACTATCCATGTTTTAAGAGAAAGCTGATAGAATTATAAGAATGAAAAGTACCAACCTGTTTCTGAGAATCAAACTCCTTGGACTCAAGTCACCATGGACTATTTCTGCTTTGTGCAGTTTCTCCACTATTGTCAAAAGGTTATAAATAATCAACACTGTTATTTCATGGGTAATATATTCACTGTGTTGGAGAAGTTCCTAGAAATAGAAGGATAGAAAACTCACTACTTCTCAAGTTTGGCAGATTGTAGTTATACTCAATACTTTGATAACTGATGGATTGTAGTCTTCCTTGTTCTCTACTGGAAGGTAGGCTCCTCTGTAGACTGACTCTCACTCCCAGTTTTAACATACTTTGATCTCCCATAAGATTCTTTGTAAGGATTTAATGACATCGTGATGAATGGCATCAAGAGTGAGCCTGGCCCAAAATAGGCACTTGATAAATGTTTTAAAATACCCTCATTCCAACCATTTTAAGAGAATTCATATTATCATCAAAATCTGTAGCAAACCTTAAGAACAAACCAAAGAATAAAACGACATGTTGTGTCTGGGTTTTAAAAATAATCCAGTGAGGGTAGTATAGCTAAACAAGAGTGGCCATGAACTAAAGATTATCATAGATGACTAGTTCATGGGAATTCATTGTACGATTCTTTTTACTTTTGTTTATGCTTGAAAATTGACAAAAAGTTAAAAGAAAATATCAAAGAGATCTTTGGTCAAAATAACTTGAGAAAAGGATCAATGCTTTTAACTTATAATTGAATTGCTCTATTTTTAGAAGACTGACAGGGATTTTGTTCTAAATTCCTTTGCTAAATGGAGCACACATCTCTTTACTTGAGAACTTTAAATTATGTTTTTAGTATTGCAAACCTGAAGGGTGAAGCAGTTAATATACTGGTGCCAAACAATACAGCCATCTTGATATTGATAACAGCTGCACAAATGATCACACGCCTCATTTAAACGCTCTTTTAACTTGTGGTTGATATAAAAGTCCCATGGGACAGGTTGAAATGATACCTGTAAGACATTATATTTTAAAAATAAGTTCCATTAAAGTCTATGGTTATGGCTGACAGGTTGAAACACATTCCCTCCAGTCCTTCTGATAGATAAATAATAATAAATAGATTTTTTTTAGAGGAATAAATCTATAAAGGACGAAACAGCAACAAATTCTGGAAAGAGAATCAGCTGGAAAGACAGTAAGAGGAAACAATCCAATTAGAATAAAAACTGATTTTGGCAGTGGAGAAAGCTGAGTTACATTTACACTACAAGGCTATTTCCCTATATTATATAACTGGAAGCACCAATTACCCATGGAAGTGAGGCTGAGGGTAGAGCTAAAACAGGAGTGACTGAATCCCATTTAACATGAAAGTAGGCTCCAGCTTCCCTCTTCTGCTCCCATAGCCTAGCCCAGCAACCACCTCTCCCCTATTCTCAAAGACCAGAAGTTTATTCCCTAGTGAGTATAAAACAGAAGGGTTCTGGACTAGAGGGCACTAGGCACCAGTGAGGGTAGAAATAACATAGAAAAACAGGAAAAAGTGTATATATCAGATGTTAAGATGCACCTGCCTGCCCTTCCGTTCTTCAGACCAGTTTCCTCAGCTTTCAGAAAGCTAGAAGCCAGGCTTATGTGCTCCAGGCAGAAAATTAGAAGTCTCCTCTGACGGAGAAGACCTCTGATCAGCTCAAGAGAAAAGATCTGAAGATTGGAGGATTTTCCAATAAAATGGCCAAGCTAGATCATCCTACATTGAAGTCCACAGCTGTCAAGGTCCTTCCATATACACAGAACTTTCAATTAGCTTTTAGTGTCCCATACTTAAATATGAATACAGAGCCAAAGACTTGAAGAAAGCCTGTAGTATGAAAGAGATCAAAACAGACAAAAAGAAACAGGAACAAACATAATGAAGGGAGAAAAAATTTTAAATCATTAATTCAGAAAGATAGGGAATATTCTAACTTTGAAATGAAGAGTAGAATGCTACAGAGAAATTCTAATTTAAAAAAAAGCTATTGAAAATTAAATATAGACCAAAGAAATAAAAACCTAGTCAAAAGACCAAAAATATTAAGTTGATAAATTACTCAGAAAGTAAAGTAAAAAGACAAAGAGAATATAGGAGAAAAAAGTTATATTTTTCAAAGATTCTGTCCAAATGGTTGCCATATGCACCTCTAATAAAAGGAATTAGAAAATAAGAGAACAGAGAAAACTGAGGGGTAAAAAAATTTTTCCATTGAATAAAATTTCTCAGAACTGAGGGAACTAACCGATTGAAATGGCCACTGAGTGCCTAGTACTTAAGTGACAACAAACTTATGTCAAGGCATGTAACTGTGACATTTCAGAATAGTGGGGACAAGAATAAGATCCTATAAGGATCCACAAAAAGGGAAAAAAAAAAAAAAAAAAAACTTTGAGACTCAGAATGGCAAAAAAAAAAAAAAAAAAAAAAATCAAAAGCAAAGTTAGATGCCATTTGGTTACAGGCATTTTGATAGAAGCCTGTAACCCAGTTTTTTGGGAGGCCAAGGTGGGAGGATCGCTTGAGCCATGAATTCAAGATCAGCCTAGGCAAGACAAAGAGGCCCCAGTCTCTACAATAAATAATTATGTGGGAGTGGTGGCATGTACCTATAGTCCCAGCTATTCCAGAGGCTGAGGTGGGAGGATTGCTTGAGCCTGGGAGGTTGAGGCTGCAGTGAGCCGTGATCATGGCACTGTACTCCAGCCTGGGTGACAGAGTAAGACCTTGTTAAAAAAGAAATAAAAGAAAAGAGAAGAAGAAGGGGAGGGGGGGAAGAGGGAAGGGAGGGGGAGGGGGAGGGGAGATGAGAGAAAAAAGAAAGAAAAAGAAACTGGGTATCCAATATAAGAAAAAGGTAATGTGAGTATCTAGGATGATAAGTGGAAATTCCAAGGTGATTGTGTGTGGGGTATGTGTGTAAAAGCTAATGTATAACTTGTCCAGATTGGGGCAGACAAGAAAGTATCAGCAGAGATTTCCTCCAAAAATGAAACTGAAAGGATACTTAATATATTTGGGACATATTGAGAGAGATTATTAGGAAGATTTAATGGTACCATGAGGACAGTTATTCCTTCAATCCCTGTTTTTTACAAAGTAACTGGAATTCCAAAGAATCAGTCCCACCTTTATTATGGTTAATTCTGCAGAGTTTCTTGGTGCCACGCAGAATAACTTGTAATCCTCACATATTAGGTATTCTCGTTTAATGCAATAATCCTCATTACCTGTTGAGAAGATTTGATTCTATTTAAAAATCACTGTGAACATATATGGCCCTCTAGCCTTTACCTCCTGGCTGAAAGGATAGAGGCACTGGTATATTGTAGCATCTAGAATACTTTAAAAAATTGTTAACAATTGCGGCCAGGCGTGGTGGCTCATGCCTGTAATCCCAGCACTTTGGGAGTCCAGGGTGTGTGGATCACCTGAGGTTGGGCGTTTAAGACCAACCTGACCAACATGGAGAAACCCCAAATCTACTAAAAAAAATACAAAATTAGCCGGGTGTGGTGGTGGTTATCTGTAATTCTAGCTACCCCAGAGGCTGAGGCAGGAGTATTGCTTGACCCCGGGAGGCACAGGTTGCGGTGAGCTGAGATCGTGCCATTGCACTCTAGCCCGGGCAATGAGAGCAAGACTGTCTCAAACAAACCAAACCAAAACAAAACAACAACAACAACAAAACAATTGTAAGAGGGGAAGACTTAATTCCTATTTACGAGAACATGAAGTTATCAATGTGTTACCGTCTATATTGCTTTTTTAAAAAATACAATCTAGGGATATTTACAGTGCTCAAGCATCAAGTTTAAATACAAATAATCACTTATTTATATACTGTCATACACCAGAGGACATGCATTCAATGGTACTTACCTAATTCAATTTCCTTCTCAATTTCCAACTTAGGCATTGGTCTGTCTTCTATAAAAAGCTCTGCAGAGTCACTTAACTCTGGTAGGGACTTCAGCAGTTGTCTACGATACTGTGAACACCAGGGTGACTGTGTAGGGTTTTCTGCCAGTGGGAGGGAAAGGTGAAAAGATATCACCAAAAAAACCTAACGCTTAAAATGGATATTATAACGGGATAGAGGGAAAAAAAATCAAGATTACACAGTCAGCACTGTTAATTTAATTACATTCATCCATCTCAGGTCTTTATGAAACTGTGTTCAGTTTGTACAATCTATTCTAGAAATTTCACAATTTATGGCAACTTCTCTGGGAAAGAAAAACATACAGGCTGGGCACAGTGTCTCCACATATAATCTCAGCACTCTGAGAGGTACAGGTGAGAAGATACTTTGATGCCAGGACTTTGAGACCAGCCTGGCAACATAGCAAAACTTCGCCTCTACAAAAAATACAAAAATTTGCCAAGCATTGCCTAGCTACTCAAGAGGCTGAGGTAGGAGGATCATCTGAGCCCAGTGAGTTTGAGGCTGCAGTGAGCTGTGATTGTGCCACTGCACTCCATTCTGGGTGACAGAGTGAGACCTTGTCTCGAAAAGAGAAAGTAAGAAAAACATACAGCTCAGTTTGCTGAGACAAACTAGTGTTTACCAGGTGTGGATACAGTGGTATGTATGATCCTACCTGAAGTCTCATTAGTAAGTTCTAGTTTCTCAGGAATTTGAAGACATTTAATGGAGGAGGTGCTTGCAACCGAGGCAGAAGATCCAGAGAAGCCAGAGGAGTGTGTGGCTTCACGGCTATCTTCAATAATTGGGCTAAAAGAATCACAAATAAGTCAATTCTTATAGGAACAATATATATCAACTTTGTTATAATTTCATAAATTCTTAATGTATTAATTTTTTTTTTTTTTTTTTGAGATGGAGTTTTGCTCTTGTCGCCCAGCCTGGAGTGCAATGGTGTGATCTTGGGTCACTGTGACCTCCATCTCCCGGGTTCAAGCAATTCTCCTGCCTCAGCCTCCCAAGTAGCTGGGATTACAGGCACCTGCCACTATGCCTGGCTAATTTTTCTATTTTTAGAAGAGACAGGGTTCCAGTCCGGGTGTGGTGGCTCACGCTTGTAATCCCAGCACTTTGGGAGGCCGAGGCGGGTGGATCACAAGGTCAAGAGATCGAGACCATCCTGGTCAACATGGTGAAACCCCGTCTCTACTAAAAATACAAAAATTAGCTGGGCATGGTGGCGCGTGCCTGTAGTCCCAGCTACTCGGGAGGCTGAGGCAGGAGAATTGCCTGAACACAGGAGACGGAGGTTGCGGTGAGCCGAGATCGCGCCATTGCACTCCAGCCTGGGTAACAAGAGCGAAACTCCGTCTCAAAAAAAAAAAAAAAAGAAGAGACAGGGTTTCACCATGTTAACCAGGCTGGTCTCAAACTCCTGACCTCAGGTGATCTGCCAGTCTCAGCCTCCCAAAGTGCTGGGATTACAGGAGTGAGCCAGCACACCTGGCCTTAATAATTTTATAATTTTTAAAATTATAAAAAAGTATAAATTTTATACTTTTGTTTTTAAATACAACTTAATAAAATTTAGGTTTAAATAATTTATAATTTGTTATAAATTTATTTGATAGTCTCATGTTTTTAAACTTTTCATTTTATCTTTGAGACAGGATCTCGCTCTGTCACCCAGGCTGGAGTGCAGTGGTACAATCATGGCTCACTGCAGCCTTGATTTCCTGGGCTCAAGTGATCCTCCCTTACCTCAGCCTCCTGAGTAGCTGAACGGTTGTAAAACAAAAAAGCTAATAGCTGGGACTACTTGGGAGGCTGAGCTGGGAGAATCACTTGAGCCCAGGAAATGGTAGTTGGGTGAGTGGTACCATGCAACCTCAGCCTCCCAAAGTGCTGGGATTACAAGCAAGAGCCACTGCATTCAGCAATAGTTTCATTTTTCAAATCCATTGTTTTTCCAAATCAGAATCTAGGTAACCTCCTCTAAACCTGAAGAACAAGCCGTGTCCACCATACACTTCTGGATTTATGCTTTATTTACCTATAGCAAATACCTACTCTATATTGAGAAACACTAACATTGACACTAACTTTCTTCCTCTTTATCCCTCCTCTGGACTTTTTTTCTTCAGTAAGAAAAGGTTGGATACCATCTACCTTTTCTACTATGAGCCAGAAAAATGAAAAAATGAAAAAAAGAAAAAAAAGGTTAGGCAAAGAAAAGAGAAACCGAAATCATGCAATGTGAATACATGTTAGCAAATGTGCTTAAAAGCTGATAGGGAAAAGTTTCAAAAAAAATTTTTTTTGAGTAGAGACGGGGTTTCACTGTGTTGATCAGGCTGGTCTCCAATTCCTGGTCTCAAGTGATCCACCTTGCTCACCCTTCCAAAGTGCCAGGATTACAAATGTGAGCCACCGCACCTGGCCTCTCAAAATGTCACTTTAAAAGCAAAAATCGGCAAATTAAAAAAAGTATTCCTAAAACTGGAATGAGTTTAAATTAGCTGACTTTAAACAAGGCTCAGACCCTGGCTGTAAGCCATTCCCTCATCCATTTCATAATTCATTTCCACCTCTCCATCAAAAGATACTTTTTTAAAAAACACATCTCTAGTTGTCTACTTAAAAATAAGCTGGCTGGGCACAGTGGCTCACTCCTGTAATCCTAGCACTTTGAGAGGCTGAGGCGGGTGGAACACCTGAGGTCAGAAGTTTGAGACCAGCCTTGGCCAACATGGTGAAACCCAGTCTCTACTAAAAATATAAAAATAAGCTGAGCATAGTGGTGCACGCCTATAGTCCCAGCTACTTGGTGGGCTGAGGCAGGAGAATTGCTTGAACCTGGGAGGCAGAGGTTGCAGTGAGCTAAGATTGCACCACTGCACTCCAGCCTGGGTAACAGAGTGAGACTCCATCTCAATAAATAAATATATAAAATTAACATAATTTATCCTACCACTATTATAAACTCAATATTACAGAAAAACTAAATGCCTCCTTTTTGTCAATCATGTATACTTTGCCAACTTTCCTCAATGGTACTATACTTCTCTTGGACTGGTTAGTTTATTCACCATCAAAATTTACTTTTAACCCTCACGTCCAAATCACTGAATCCCACTGACATTTTATCTGAGGCAGCCCTACTCTCATGTAAAGCACTTAGCACAGTACCTGGCAGTTAGTAAGAACTTGATAAATGATTACTGTAACTGGCAAGCAAACACAGAAAGACAGAGCAAACAATCTGGTTTTTAAGATCTGTAAATCCCTTATCACCTCAGTTTCTTGATGCTGAGAGTCTGATTGTAGAGAGTGCCACAAGCTGTCTGCTGGTCTTCAGAGGTCTTTACATCTAGATCCTCTTCCTCTAACAGTCTTTCAGGATCAGAAGGGAGATCCTTCAAGGACATTATCTCATGAAAAGGAGTAGATACAAAATGAGCAGCTCTGGCAAAGTCACAAGTGTCTTCTGGATTAGGACAAATTGTTACATTTCTGAAGCCTGTGATAATGGCATCCTCACTTAAGGGTTCAATTCCTGTAAATTCATCCTGAAATAAAAACCATATAAAGTTTAGCTTAAAAAAAATTTTTTTTTTTTTTGAGACAGAGTCTCACTCTGTCACTCAGGCTGGAGTGCAATGGCACAATCTCGGCTCACTGCAACTTCCACCTCCTGGATTCAGGCAATTCTCCTGCCTTAGCCACTCGAATAGCTGGGGTTACAGGCACCTGCCTCTACGCTTGGCTAATTTTTCTATTTTCAGTAGAGACAGGGTTTCACCAGCTTGGTCAGGCTGGTCTTGAACTCCCGACCTCAGGTGATCCACCTGTCTCAGCTTCCCAAAGTGCTGGGATTACAGGCATGAGCCACCGCACCCAACTAGCTTAAATATTTCAACACATGAAGAATCTTTTTTATTTATTTATTTATTTATTTTTTTTTTTTCCTTT